CTCCTCCTCCTCCTCCTCCTCCTCCTCGTCCATTCACTCTGCCTTTCTTCTCACCCAGCCTACACTTCTTTTCCCTTACTCTCTCTGCTTCTTGTTCACGGGTTGTCGTTGGGTCCCCACTGTCTGGGGGTCTCTGTGGTCGGGGCGGACATCAACAAAGAACCTAGTAGGTGCTGGTGCCTGTTGGCCACACTTTGTGCATTTCCTGCCTCCTCCCCAGACGGGCTGGGGTAGGAAGCAGGTCTGGCTGCTAACATGAACAGGAGTCCCCTTACACTTTGGGCCACACAGCAGAGTGTTTAGTCCCATCTGCCTCCAGATTCATTCTTCCCAGCACTTCTCCCAGGAGGCCTGAGCCTTCTCCATGACCCTCATGCTTCTCCCTGGCCCGGGTCCACCTCCTGGCCTGGGGATGAGAGAGGGAGACAGTGCTAACAAGATGAGCCTTGGAGTTCTCCCTTTATTCCCCACCTCACCCCATCCCCCGTACGCACCTAATCATATGCAACAGGCACACCCCCTAACCCGAGTCACTGAGAAATCTGTGTTAGTGTCCAGCACACCGGCCGGGTACACCTTGCCTGTGCATGCACCGTGGAGACTTCAACAGTGGTGACCCCAACACCAGAGCCCCCCAGCGTCCAGCAAGCTCCCAGCCCTTGGACCTGAGTCAGGGAGGCCTCACCCCCAGAGGCCCTGCCTCTGGTGAGTGTTGTGGGTTGGACGGGAGGGGAGAAGGGTGGGACCCTCTTACTCTATCACTTCTGGGGACCCTGGCCTTGATCCCAGGCCTTTGTCCTACGCAGGAAGTGTTCCCACAGGAAATTAGGTGTGAGCAAGTCTGGCTTTGGGCCACTTGATTCCCTGTGCGGGGTTTATGTGAAGGGATGCTTTGTAGCAGTGCCCCAGACGCCATCTGCAGAAGTAGACTTGCAACAGAACGTGGCCTTTTGCATTGGGGCCTGTTCAGTCACATGGCTCCTCCCAGGGGCTTGCTGTGTCTGCACTTCTGTTAGTGTCCAACCCGGAGCCACAGGGGGGTCCACAGTGGCAGCTGGGGCTGACACTGGGTAGCAGAGAAGGTGGGCCAAGAGAGAGGGGTGGAGCTGTGGGGCAGAGCAGGTGCAACTTGCTGCCTGCAGAGGGGGATGCTGCCTCCCTTTAGACCCAGCCAGGTCCTCTCCATTTCCCAAGCAGGCTGGAGAGCTGGATCTTGTGTTCTCTTTCAGGTGATCAGGAGTCAGCTGTGCATCACCCAGTTCTAGAAAGGCAGCAGCAACAGCCACCCGGAACACAGGGCTGTCTCCAGGTACCACTTTCTGTGGCTTCTAGGAGTGCTGGCTCCCGCTGAGATGGTGGGCTGCGTGTGCAGGTTAAGCTGACTTTGGTGCTCCCATGCATCCTGAACCACAGGGACGTCGGGCTCCACCTATCCCCTGAGGTTTCCCTCTGCCTGTGTTGTCACCTGGTTCTGGCATATGGGGGACCTGAGGAGTGGGAGCGAGTGGAGGGAGGCAGACAGTGGAGAGCAGAATATCATTCTCTTTTCTCTTTCTCCGATGTCTCTGTAACTAGTGTGTGGCTCTACAGAAAGAAATAGAGGACCTCAAAGAACAACTAGGTATGAGGAGTTGGAGTGGGGGGGTGGGCTGTGGCAGGGGCGGGGCAGAGGCAGACCTCAGTGTCTCCTGGTGCAGGTGTCTGGGGCCGGGTGGGGCTGCAGGGACAGGCAGCATCACAGGGCTGGACGTTGCTGTGCCTGGCCCGGGAGCCTTCTGTGCCTTGACTGCCAGGGCCGTGCACAAAGAGCAGTGAATCATCTGAACTCCATGTACTCTGCCTTTGAGTCCCACAGGTCTCCTTCTCTGAGGACCTTTTGAGATGCCTCCTTTACTTTCCCTTTAAGTGCTGGTTGGTGTGGTTTGCTTGATGGTTGTTGTCCGGTGTTTGTATGCTTGCTTGCTTGTTTGCGTTTAACACTTTTTTGGATGCTTCTGCCACACCCCAGTGTTTGAACACTGCCGGTGCGTGTTCTGTCATAGAAGACATTTCCACATTGAGTTCCAGTGGCAGGTGGGGGAGTCATTCCCAGGGCTGATCGGACAGGGGCTGGAGGGGACTCAGATTCTAGGGGCAGCTGGGAAGGGGAGGCAGGGGGACAGTCTCTTGCACTCCTGTGTCTGGAGTGCTCGGTCATGCCTCTCTCTTTCAGCGGTCATGCAGTCCCTGGATGACAAGTTCCAGGTCTTCTGAAGTGAGTGTCAAGCTTATCATCCCTCTTTCCCACAAACCTGGCTATCTGGGGATTGGGGGTGGCTGTGAGCCTGCACTGGTCCTGGGTTGGCCCTGACTCTGCTCTGCTTGTCAGGCCGAACAAAGCATCTTCCAGTGAGGCGAGCTGCTGGTACCTGTGAAGCCCAGGAGCAGCGGCCAAGCTCATTCCCTCTGGCTCTTCAGCCAGGGCCCCCTGCAGTTCACAATTAAAGTTCCCCTCATGTCCCTGTGTTCTGCCCTCTCTCTGAGTGGTGGGGGCCTGTAGGGGACAGGAGATGGGTGGGAGCTGCCCCATCTCAGAGCAGGTTAGGAACAGTACCCATGGCATTTCGTGGTGGGCCTGTCCCTGAGGCGGGTGTTCTTGGGTGGCCTCTGAGCAGGAGCCCTGTGTTCAGGCTCCATGGTGCCCTGGGTTTGGTTTCCATGTGGCCTGGGTCCAGTCCTGCTAGCATGTCCTCCCTTTGCCCACCAGCGCTCTTGGTGCTCTCTCCTAATGTCCTTCCCTCTGGAGGGAAGGGTCATGCAGGACCCATTCTAGCCTTCTCACCCCCCCACCCCTTTCAGCAGGAATTATTAAGGCCCATCCAGAGCCCCAGTTCCCCTGCCTTCCCAGCCTTTTTTTTTTTTTTTTTCCATTGCCCTGCTTCTCCCCTCTCACCCTTCTTTTCCATCCTGAGCATCCTTGATCTCTCCCATGGCTCCCCCTGGTGGCCTGTCCTGAGTGAATGATTTCAATAAGCTTTGGAGGCACAGTTGAGCTCACCTTCCCCCTCCTAGGCCTAGTCCTATTTCTGGTATCATTGTCTTCCTCAGGTGTCACCACACAGAGGGACAGCTCAGCTAGAAATCGCCCATCATCCTTAGTTCCCTCTTACCGCTCACCTCTGAAGCCCAGTGGGCAAATTCTGTCACGTTTCCCTTCTTCTTTCAGTAGAGGAGTAGGGGCAGAGGTCACAGCCCATTGGGTGAAAGAACAATGAAAGGGTACAGGTAACTTGGAGAAAAGTGGTTTGTCTCTGGTTATAGGAGGGGGCTCTGGGTCTGTGGGCCAACCTAGAGGAAACTGCCCGCGGGCACCTGGAATGAATGGTCAGGCACGAGAGTGTCCACATCCTCCCATATCCTAGTCAGTCCACCAGCCCTTCCGATCCTGTCAGCTCCATAGCTCTTGTTTGAAAAGGTCCAGTTCATGTCTAGGGCAAATGTAGATGAGAGATCTGCGTGTGCCTGAATGGTCCCCATCCAGATACCTTCTGAGCACCCCCATGGCACTGAGCCTCCTGGACATGATGATATTGTGAAAAGCACAATCTCACAGACTGCCTCCTGAGGACACATGAGATTTTGTCTGAGCTCCATATTCTGATGTCACTGTCCCTGATGGATAGTTGGTCTAGCTGTGCCTAAGACTCAGTGACAGATTCATTCATTTTTGAGTGCAGAGAGACAAGTGTGGGGTTCTCCAGCTCCTATCGCAAACATGCTGGTTGCATAATAAGCAAGTCAAACTAATGAAGATGTTGCTTTTAAGGTGTAGGTGTGTGTGTCTGTGTGTGTGTGTCTGTATGTCCACATGTGCTGTTTGCATCCAATGAGTTGGAGATGGTGGCCCTTGAGAAAAAAAAAAAAAAGTTATGACTTTGGGGATGGAGGCTGTGGCGGCAGGGCGCAGAAACCAGAGGGATCAAATGCACAAGGCTACCTCAGAATATCTGGTTCTCCCCTTGCCTTTAAAGCAGCGAGCACCTCTGGGCGATGGCCGTGCCCTGAGCTGAACCCAAGTGGGATGTTCCTGTGGAGGATGGAGAGTGGGACTGCCTGCTGTGGACTGGATCGGGCTTGGGAACACCTTTCCCTAGACTTCCACTCTGTGTCTCCTCTAAGTCCCATGAGATAGGCTTAGGGAGACAGACCTTCACACACACGGTAGACCTCAGAGCCAGAAAGGATCAGCAGCAGAGGGACTTAACATCATCCACTTCAAACCTCCCCCTAAGCAGGGGGCCTGGGTTCCTTAGGCTGTGGCTGAGACCCTGACACGAGTAGCTGTTCCTTGGAGGGGTAAAACACAGCAAGATTGACATCTGCTTGAGGAAGCTGGCCGGAGACTCTCTGGCTGGAGTTCCTGCCACTGGAGACCTTCAGGTCAGTTCCAACTGGGGTGAATTCTGGCACCATGCTCTGTCCTGGGAGGCAAGGGGCCATCCTCCCAGGTCAGCCTATTGACCCAGAGCAGCATATTGACCGAGCCTTGCCTAGGCACAAACTCGACTCTTGGTGACCAGCTTCCACCAGCCCTGCTTCTTCCTTCGGAGCACATGTTCTGACTGCCCCCTGCTCATACCAGATACAGCACAATAGTGTTGCTGTTACAAGTACACCATGCCACTAGCCGTTGTTGGTACCGAACGATCAGAATTAGGGACAGATTCTGAGGATCTATCAGGTTCAGATGGAACCAACTTCACACCCTTTCCCTCATTCAGTGTCCACACACATCCGCTTTTCCCCCAAGCCACCTCTGCCATGCAGGGGAACTTAGTGTTGGCCTGGACAGTTTCAGGTGAGGTCTTGCCTCTTGGTGCTACTCTTCTCAGAGTGAGCTCTGGAGGCTGGCTGGACCATATGCCTGTGCTTGATGCAGCTGCACCTTGGAGACATGAGTGATAATCCACTTGGACCAGGTATCCGATCTCCCACCTGTTTATTTCCAAGCATGAGCTTTCACCCTGGGGGCAATAATGATGGAATCCCCACCAGGCTGCAACTAGGGCAAATTGGGTACCAGACAGTCAGCTGGCAAGAGGCATCCAGTGCAGCCATCCCCAGCTGTGAGTAGGCCCAAAAGAGTGCATTCTGGAGTATCAGGTGACATCCACTACATCAGAGTCACCGTGGTGGTAGGTCCCAAGCATGGATTCTAGTCCTTGCTTCACAAACTTCCAGTTGAACTTGGGCAACTTTGTGCCCACCTGTCTCCAAAAACTCCTTTCCTCGTCCACAATTCCTTGTGATCCATCTCCTTTTAGGGTCAAGGCAGCTCAGGTGTCTGCCGGGTTCAGTTGTGTACACTGTGGCCGCCAGGATGGACATGTGAGCCATACCCATGTGAAGCCATGCTGTAGTGTTCGCATGATGACGACCTGAGCTGGGATCTGGCAGTTTGGCAGGAAAGAAATCCCAGGTAACCACCACTCAGAGTGAGAATCACAGCATTGCCAGCACGGGGACCCTCCTGGGTGCCCCACTCCAACAACTTCCCCATGCATCATTTACTTCTGCTGAAAGGATGAAAGATCGCTCTCAAAGAAGATCCCTCACTAAAATGCAAAAACCAATGGTAGCTACCAGAGGCCCAGGAGAGTAGAGGGAGGGGTGGGGCAAGGTTGATCAATGGGCACTCAGTTACAGTTAGGTAGGGGTAAGGAGTCCCGGTAGGCAATTGTTGAATATACACAACAATTATTTACTGCACATTTCAAAGAGCCAGAAGTAGACTTCACCCATGGCCACCCACGGGAGAGAGGTGAGATGGCAGGTGACATCACTAAGTCTCAGGCAACGTGGACTGGTGGCAGCACAATGTTTGGGGAGATCACCTGCAAGTGAATCCCAGTCAAACTCATTTTTGAGGATGAGCAGGGTCTTGCTTCCTTTCCCTGAAGCACTAACTTGTTTTCTGGAGGTACCCCAGAAAGGGTATTTCAGATTTCTGGAGCAGCAGAAATCTTATAAAAATCTTACAAAAGTATCCTTGGAGCCAATCCCTAAAACACAAATGCCGAATGTCTTCTTTGATATAAGGGGGGGGGGACTCAAAACAGAGCAGGGAAGAAGAGCATGAGAAGAAGATTGCCATTAAACAGGGACGAGAGGTGGGAGGGAATGGGAGAGAGAAGGAGAATTGCACAGAAGATGGAAGGAGACCCTCATTGTTATACAAAATTATAAGAGGATGTGAGGGGGGAGGGAAAAAAGAGAGAAATGACTTACCTTAGATGGGGTAGAGAGGTGATGGAGGGGAGGGGAGGGGAGGGGGGATAGGAGGGGGATAGGAAGGGCAGCAGAATACAACAGACACTAGTATGGCAGTATGTATAAATGTGGCTGTATAACCAGTATGATCCTGCAATTTGTACACGTGGGAAAAATAAGAATTCATACCGCATTTGAATCAAATGTATGATATATGATATATCAAGATCATTGTAATGTTTTGAGCAACTAATAAAAAAAGTATCCTTGGACATTTGCAGATTGTTGGCAGGAAATGTGCTTTTGATCTGGGCCCAAAGAAGGCTTATTTCATGTTGGTGAATGAAGTTTCAGGGCGTGGGTATCCACCATGTTCATTTGTGTGTCCTTGGAGGTTGACAGTATATTGGCTTCCTGGCTATGCATGATTTGGGGACCATTTTCCCTTCTCTAGGCAGTGTTTGCATCAAGTTTGTAAGATCCAACATGTTGAGCACTACACTCGCTTTTGCCCGTGTAGCGATAAATGGAGAAAATGATTTCTAAACAATACCCATAATACAAACTTTGTTGTCTGGTGAAAAGAAAAATCTGGAAGAAAATATTTTGTATATTTTCTCTATATGGAAATGATAAATGAGAAGATTGATGTTTTTAACCTAATTTACACATTACACAATGTATGTATATTGAAACACCACATGGTACTCCAGTCGTTTGTTGAGCTTTCATGTTTTTGATGTATCGGTCTAAAATCTTCATAGACAATAAAATTGCTATGAGAGGTTTTCAGTATCATCATCATCCAAAAACAAGGTAAGTATGTGAAATAATACATGTTACTTAGCTCAGTTAGGCAATCTACAATGCACATATTTCAACACATTATGCCACACACCATAATTATATATAATATTTGTCAGTGAAACATACATAGAAGTATGCTGGGTGCAGTGATACACACCTGCAATCCCAGGGAATCAGCAGCTGAAGTGGGAGGATTGCTTGGACATCATGGTGAGACCCTGCCTCAAAGTAAAAACTAAAATAATCTGGGGATCCAGCTCAGTGGTAGAGTGTCCCTGGGTTCAATCCCCAGTACAGCAATAAATAAGTAAAGGAATGAAGAATGCACACATATAAGCAGTTGCATTTCATATCAGAGTATTTATATAAAGACTTCCTGTCATATAGAGACTCCTATCCAGGAAACAGATCTGGCGTCCCAGCAGGTGGAAGGAGATGCAAGATACA